TTCAACGCATAACCGATCCGATCAACTGGTCTTAATGTTATCAGAAAGCGTTGGTGTACAAACCACCAAAGTGAGGCGTCGGTGGAGCTTATTTTCGATGATGTGGCGGCACGTCCGTTAACTGTGTATGCTTAGAAGTTGCAGATACCTGAATTGGATTCGAGTGGACGCTTTAACTTGTGCAATTTTCGCATGGAAATTGTTATGTGAAATTTTTTCACTCACGTGCGACCACTGCCGGTTCAAATTCTGCTCTTAAACTACTCTTTTACCATAAATGACTTTGTTAAAAATCATTATTGATTTTAAATGTGTCGCAATTTGCCTGAGAACGTTATGCAAAAACCACACCCCTTTTAGTGTCTTGCAGTGGCTCGGGAACTGTTCATATCTGTGGATTTAACTTAAGCAAACGCACTAATAAAGACGTAGTTTCCATGATTTCATAATTGTGTGTTGATAGATAGAGCGTAATTGGTATAACTGGGGTTGAGTTGCATGCACCGATAAAGCCAGATGAGATACTGACCGCCAACTGCTGGTCACTCCCATGTAACAGCCTTTCATGTTGGTTTTTACAGTGGAGGTGATACATTGCCTCTCCTCCACCCCACACTGCTTTATGGCAAACGTTGATTAACAGTACCCATTGTGGGATAGATAATCACTAAGTGAATAAAACCTCAAAATTGCACCAAATATAACAAATTAATTTTGTTGTGAAAACACGTTCACCACTTCAGTGCCGTCAGTTACAATCAGCTGTCTGTGGCTTCTCAGATCTCGGTCTAGTTCTTTCACCAAATATGATAATGATTAATTGGGGTCGCCTGTCTGAGCAGCATAATCCACTTTAAGCTAAAATGATTCTGAGCCGGTTGCATGACACTATCTAATTATTCTAACTCCTTCTACCTATTTCGATCTTCCATGTTAATGTCTGCGGCAGATGGGCTTCAATCCGACAAAGCTGATCAAGCCAGTGTAGCTAACGCTGGCGATGGTTTGCATAGGTCTCACCACTCTTGCTACTTATTTGGAATCAGCACGAAGTATAAATTTCATCTTGTCAGGGGTAGTGAGCATTGTAAATGATTAGAATTTGTGAATGCCGCCCAAACCCAATCAGAATTTAACCGATAAATTACATTTTATCGGTAACACGAAACCACTAGTTACAGAGTGCTTAATGTGTTTAAACGTTTCGCTTCCGTCGTTCCTGTGTCGGTCTTCCTCATCGTTTTCTGCCGCTTGACTACCAGGAACCTCCTCTTGAAGGTGACTGCTCAGTCGGCTCTGTGGACGAAGGTGTGCAGTTGAGAAATCCCCTCTTTATTTGATCAGTAGGTGTGAAACACACCGCAAGCTGACAGATCTGTGAATGGGAAGCTTGAGTTTTGGCATTGCACAAAAACAGCTGGCATTTCCAGAAGAGTTTACTAGCAAACCTCTAAGTGTCAGTCATGTTTCAAATCTGCGTTCCATCGTCTATTCATTTGGCAACATGAACATGCAATTCTAAATTATCTTGTCATATTTCTTACAGAATGTTGAAATTGCTGACATGAACCTGGAACAAGTGGAATACAACTTCCACTTATCGCCCTTTTAAAAGTAAATTTTAAATTATCAACTGAAACAGTTTGCATTTCATGAGGCGACAAATTCACGATCACCATGGCTACATCACATATGTCAGGTGTACACTTCGCATCTGATTGATTTCCAGCATCAAAACGCTGACGTTTTTTACAAAGCCAAATCTATTTCATCACTTGCGACATCGACGAAGCAACCCGTAGATGTTGTATACGGATTCACCTTATCTTTCTTTTCCTTTCACCTCTTCGTAAGCTAAAGGCATTGTCATTCCTCCATTGTGGTATCTACAAAGATGACACTGAATCGTCGTTGATGAAATCATTCAAAATTCTGAAACTTCAGGTTTCCAAGATTGTGCACTGCTTTTGCGTCGGCTTACACAGTCACTGAATTTGGAAGCAGCCAAAATTCGTGTGAGCAGAGGTGCTTGTCTTGTTTCAACACATGCTCCAATTCATTTCTGCCGCGATAAATTTCACATTTATCAATACATGGCATTGCCCCGTGCCGAGTGCATCAACCAAGATATAATCAACCTAGTTTTATTATAAATTATCTGCATCTTTGTAGCTCTATTGCACATGTACCAGATTATGCACGAAAACAGGTACACTAGATACGGAGCATTGTAATTGAGGGCAATGCAACTGGTTCCCATTTTATTGTTCATCACCCGAGCCAACGAAATTCCAAAGAATTTATCAACCTTCTCTAAAACGCCATTGAACGTTGACAGGTTGCTTTCAATAAACTCTGCACCAAACTTTCATAAGATAAGCTTGAGCTCCTCGCAAAACCTGCAGACAATAATCTGCGCTTCCGGTGAGATGCCACCACTTTGTGCACCTCATCGCATCCATTATCCGCCGATTGACGGCCAATTTCGTTGTCATCAAAGTAGATCTACTGCTTAATCGGCTAGATGAAAGGTCTGCAACACGAAAGCAGGCAGAGCAGAACATTTGAATTCACGAAAATGAATTTAAACATAGCAACACACTTGATTTACTGTTCAAACTCTTCATACCGGTAACGTCTTCCTCTATTTGTACCTTTTAGGCCTACCCGACAATTAGTATATGGATATTCTCCTGTTTCCCGAACTCTGTCATTCAGTTAACCCTCTTCGTCCACTGTCCGTCTTGTAACCCAGTTCCGAATTAGGTCTTCTAGATGGTTCCACCATTTGTCTCACGTTTTGCTCCATATGTTAGCCTGGATTGTGCATCTCGCGCTGACTCATCGGTAGTACATCTCTTCACTTGGGTCAGATTTCTGCTAGCGCGTTACATGCCCTTCGATGACACTGTTGGTGCGGCAGAAAGTTCCAGTTGCCCAAGACGGGATGCAGCTTTGCCAAATTTGACTAATCCTGGGTGTGTGCTTGATGTGCACGATTTATGGAACGCGTAGCGTTCATTTGCGATAAAACGCTTTCCTTCAGCTAGTAGGTTGATTAGAAAAGGCTCCGCGAACACAATCATCAGTATCGCTGCGCGTGAACAGCCAATTTTAGCACCAAGGGCCTTTTTCCAAGTCGTAGAATACATGAACAAATAATGAGCTTGTGTAATGTGTGAAGCAGCGTTGTGGAGGCAGTCAAAGCACAGTTTGGTCACCATATTTTTTTCACAGATTTAGAGATGGTGCCACAGAACTACTGCGAAATAAAGCCATTGCAGCAAAATAATTTGATGGCAGATATTAACTGTGCCAAGTAAACTGCTGACAGTATATACGCAATCAAATAAATCTGAAAATTCGAAAACGTTTTAAGACAGGTGATTTCAGCATTCCCCTCTCAGTCCGATTGTGGCAGGCTTAATGAACATCGTTGAAGTCTTCTGCAGACATTTTTGCGAACTCCTTGTCCGCGTTTTTCTCTTCCCTTCCTCGATCGACGTGCAATGCAATTGCTTTCTATTTAATCGTTCATCACCCCAGCCAACACCATTCCAAGGAATTCATCAACCTTTTCGAGAATGACTCTGAATGTTGGCAGGTTGCTTTTAATAAACTATGCACCAAAGGTCCGTAAAATGAGCTCGAGTTCCTCGCTAAGACTGCAGGCAATGACCTGCGCCTTCAGAGAACTTGCACTAAATTCCGCCACTGCTTTGTGCACATCATAACGGCTATTAGCAGCCGATTGACGACCGCTTTTATTGGCATCACGGTTGATTTGCTGCTCCTTCTTTTATCAATCGGCTAGATGAAAGGCCTGCAGCATAAAAGTCGACAGAGCGGATCGTCTCTGTTCACTAACATGAATGTAGTCATAGCAACATACTACTTGATTGTACTAAACCGTAACAACAATTTACGACTGCATATG